AAAAGTTTTTTTTATATTTTTTGCATTTTCGAACGTCACAAAAAATTACACAAAAATATCATAATTCGTTTCTAATAATAATTTTTTTTTTTTATTTTGTTTTTTTTAGAGTGGTATCCAAAATATTTATGATATTTTTGTGACAATGGCGTAATTTGAAAAAAATCTATTGAATTTAAAATTTTTTTTTTTTTTTCCAATATTTTTCTGTATATTTTTTTTTATATATGCCATATATTCGTAAATTCATAAGAGTATAATAAATAAATAAATTCATTCCTTTTTTTAATTATCTTTTTTTTTATATAAATATTAAATATTGTAAAAAAAAAAAAAATAAAAAAATGAAAAAATTAAAAAATAATATTTTTTTTATTTTTTATTTTATTTTTTCGTTAAATTTCAATGGTTCTCTCTCAGCAATTCCCCTAAACGAATATAATTGTTATGTAAACTTTATTCAGAAGTTTAATTTAGTACAAAACTATCCAAGTATTTATTATTATATTCATAATCATAATTAATTTAAAATATTAACTTTTTTTTTTTTTTTTTTTTTTTTTTTAAAAAATGTAGGTTCAAATGGAGTATATGCAGAATCATTATTTTGTAGTAAAACTCAAATTTGCCATTCTAATGGTTCCATTAGTGAACTTTCGCCTATTGTTGGTAATAATGATGTAATTACATTGGGCAAGCAAGTAGTTGTTAGTGATATCGATTGCTTTCCATTTTTAACCAAAATTGCATTAAGACTTTTGGATCTTTCAAACGAATTTATTTATTACAAATTCCCAACAGTAACAAATATAATTTTAGAGCTTGATACTTTCAGTGATCTTTCACAAAAACTACCACCTTACGATTTTTAGTAAGTACATAATAAATATTTTTTTTTTTTTTAAAAACAAGTAATTGATTATTTAATTTAAAATAATAACAACATAGCCAAATTACAACTACTGGTATTTTAAATATTAAAATGTCCCATTTAAATGATATCAAAACATTTATATTAAATAATAACAAAGCTACAACCAATGTTGAAGTAGACAGTGGAGCAGACAAAACAAATTTAAAATCATTGACATTAAACATGAAAAATTTCCCAAATTTTTCCGGTTACCAATTCGATAAAGCTACATTTATTTTTGGCACTCAATTCAATCCATCAGAAGTCCTTACAAATTTCCAATATTTAAATGCTTCAAATGTTCATTTTACATTTCCCTTAAATATCAATTATCAAGTTCCTTTTTATCTTCACTTGAATACCTATATTAAAGTTATGAATCATTATATCGGCTATTTTCTAACACCCACTCAATTCTACGATTTGTCAAGTCTTGTCAATTATGAATCAATTAGATTAGGTTTCGTTGGAAAGAATTTCCTTTATCAAAATAAAATTCCAGTTAAAGTTAGTCCAAATACAAATTTTGATTTTTCGTTGGATATAATTAGTCCACAAACCCCACCACAAATCCCTCCAATTACCGATGTTGGCTTTTTAAAAGCTGTTGGCTATACAGATAGTTACCTATCAGGTAATTTACCAGAATATAATGGTCAAGGTTCAGCATACATATATAGTAAAAACCAATTAACAGGTACTATACCTGAATCATGGTGTGGAACTGCTTTATTTGTAACAAATAATCAATTGACAGGGTTTGTATTTAATAATAATAACTATACTTTGTATTTGTAAAGTTCATCATTTTAATAATTCTCTTTTTTTCTTTTAACATTTAGAACTATTCCATCATGCTTTTCTTGCTATTTAAGTAGCACACTTCAAATGACTACTGAAATTTCGGGTCCAAACAGTTTTCTTTCAATGCCAACAATGTTTGATAGATTTGCAGGTAATAGTTTTACCAATTTAGATAAAACTATTCCATGTACAACTTATAGACCACAAGTTAAATACCATAATCAAACAACTATTATAATTAGCGGTATTGATATTGGTCATCATCCTAACTATTATTTCCTTGGTTCAATGATAGTATCTAACCGATGTAAACCTGTTCCACAATCAATTATTAGATATGGTTATGAATATTATTGTAATCAAGATTCCAGTCTCCTGAATATGAATTCTATCCAACTAATTAATATTGGTAATAATATAAACTATAATTTTGCCTTAGTCAGTAAACCACCAACTTTTACATCAATTATTACAACTGAAAATAATAAAGTCTCTGCAGTTGGCACATTCTTCTCAAGTTATTTAGGTCAATCAGAACAAACTATAACTATTGCAGGCACAAATTGTCCAGTTACTAAAACTGGATTCACCGACTTTACTTGCATCACATCAGTTACATTATCACCAGAAAAACAACTAGTTGTAATAAAGAATGATAATCAAACTAAAAAAGTATTTGCAGTTTTCGAAAACAATAGACTCAATAATAAACAATGTCCAAATGATTGTGTAGGCTCACCATCAGGAGATATTTGCGATTTAAGCACTGGTACTTGTGTAGGTTGTCCAAACGATTGTAGTGGCCATGGTATTTGTAACGAATCAAAAGGTAAAATAATTATACTTTCATTCATTTAACATATTATTTTTTAACTCATATTAAATATTTTTATTCTTTTCAATTATGTTTTTAATAGGCAAATGTGAATGTAATCCAAACTATATAAATTTCGATTGTTCAAAACTATACATCCCATGTCCAAACGATTGCAGTTCACACGGTAAATGTGATACTAATACTGGTATTTGTAAATGTGATACCAACTATTATAAAGACGATTGTTCTGAGGTAAACATCCCATGTCCAAAAAACTGCAGTTCACACGGTGAATGTAATACTACCACTGGTAAATGTAAATGTGATACCAACTATTATCTAAATGATTGTTCTTGGCTCTACATCGCATGTCCAAACGATTGTAGTTCGCATGGTAATTGTGATACCAATACTGGAAAGTGTATTTGTAATACCAACTATATTCAAGATGATTGCTCCGAGTTATATATCCCATGTCCAAACGATTGTAGTTCACACGGTAAATGTGATACTAATACTGGTATTTGTAAATGTGATGCCAATTATATTCATAATGATTGTTCAGAATTATACATCCCATGTCCAAACGATTGTAGCTCACACGGTCAATGCAACACTAATACTGGTATTTGTAAATGTAACACCAACTATATTCAAGATGACTGTTCAGAATTATATATCCCATGTCCAAACAATTGCAGCTCACACGGTCAATGCAACACTAATACCGGTATTTGCCAATGTAACACCAACTATATTCAAGATGATTGTTCAGAATTATACATCCCATGTCCAAACGATTGTAGCTCACATGGCCAATGCAACACTAATACTGGTCTTTGTAAATGTGATACCAATTATATTCATGATGATTGTTCAGAATTATATATCCCATGTCCAAATGATTGTAGCTCACACGGTCAGTGCAACACTAATACTGGTATTTGTAAATGTGATGACAATTATATTCATGATGATTGTTCAGAATTATACATCCCATGTCCAAACGATTGTAGCTCACACGGTAAATGTAACACTAATACTGGTATTTGTAAATGTGATGACAATTATATCCATGATGATTGTTCAGAATTATACATTGAATGTCCAAACAATTGCAGCTCACATGGTCAATGCAACACCAATACTGGTATTTGTAAATGTGATGACAATTATATTCATGATGATTGTTCAGAACTATACATCCCATGTCCAAACGATTGTAGCTCACATGGCCAATGCAACACTAATACTGGTACTTGTCAATGCAACACCAACTATATTCAAGATGATTGTTCAGAACTATATATTAAATGCCCAAACGATTGCAGCTCACTCGGTAAATGTAACACAAATACTGGTATTTGTAAATGTGATGACAATTATATTCATGATGATTGTTCAGAATTATATATCCCATGTCCAAACAATTGCAGTTCACACGGTCAATGCAACACTAATACTGGTATTTGTCAATGCAACACCAACTATATTCAAGATGATTGTTCAGAATTATACATCCCATGTCCAAACAATTGCAGCTCACATGGTCAATGCAACACTAATACTGGTATTTGCCAATGCAACACCAACTATATTCAAGATGATTGTTCAGAATTATACATCGAATGTGCAGATCCAATATGTTCATCTCAAGGTCATTGTATTACATCAAATGGTATTTGTGATTGTAACAATGGATTCGGTGGTGACAAATGCGAATTCAGTCAACATTATATTACATCAGTTAACCCATCAAATGAAAATGGTGGTGAAGCAAGCTTCTATGGTAGTTTCGGTGAACAACACAACCAATTATCAGTTATAATCGGATCAAAAACATGTCCAGTTACACACTCTTCAAACGATTTAATTAATTGCACAGCACCACCAGGTAAAGGTATTCACAGTGTAAATATCACTCAAAACAATATTGTTTATATTGGTAAAGATATTTACATTTATTCAAAAGTACCACAAAACATATTCGAATGTCCAAAGAACTGTTCATCACATGGTAAATGTAATACATCAAATGGTAAATGTGATTGTTATTTAGGATATACATCATTTGATTGTGGATCAATGCTCGGAGGAGGAGATAAAGATAATACAACCAAACCAACTGGACCACCAACATCAAATGTAGATAACAGCACAGGTATTGTAGATATTAACAACGAGAAAATCAACTTTAAAATCTACCTCAAATCATTAAATGAAATAGATATTAATAATAATATTGTCAAGAGTTATCCATTAGTATCAGATTGGACAGTAAACAAAACACAATCAAACATTTATACATTCGAACAATCACCAAACAAAGATGAATTCAAAGTTATATCAACAATCGAACAAATTGAAAACGATAAATCAGTTTCATTTGCAGGAATCGACTTTTTACTCACCAACAACTCAATTAAATTCACAGTTTCAATTAAAAACTATAAATACCAATCATTCTTAAACACACTTCAACTCGAAATGCAATCAAACACAACCGAATTAACCAATGACGATTGCAACAGTAAAGAAACTCGATTAGACACTGAAAATCTCAAAAATCAATATGATCTCAGTTATATTAAACTTTCAAAGAATAATGTCGATTTTGTAGGTAGATTCGTCAACAAAGTAGTATCAGACTCGAAACCAACATTCTTAACAACATCATACACCAAATTCAACGACTCAGTAACTATCACATTACACTTACCACATTGTGTCAATGAATGTTTAATCGATCCAGGTAATATATTAAATTAATTAAAATAATTTTTATTAAACTATTATTTAAATATTAATTTTTTTTTTTAAATAGATTTTTCAGTTTTACTATCATCAGACTTCTCAGATTGCAAATCACCAAAACAAAATATCAAATGGCAAATACCAGTTGGTGTTGTTGTTGGTGTTGTTGGTGCCTCTTGTCTTGGTATCCTTTTCTATAAAAGAAAATCAGTTATTAAAGTAAATGGCCAAAAAATGACCAATAAAATATAAACATCACAAATAAAGTATAAAATAAAATATAAAACTTTATTCAAAATAAAAAAAAACTGTTCAAAAATTTTTATTTGCACAAAAAAATACAACCCAAAAATTTAAAAAAACAAAAAAATTTTTTGAGTTTTTTTTTAGATTACGCGTATTTTCTTGGATACCATATTTTTTTTCATGTTGGATATGCCTGGACGTTTTAATAATTTACGGCCCATCAACGAATTATAAAAAAAAAAATATAAAAAAAAAAAAAAATAAATTATAACAAAATTAACATTCTGTATATTTTTTTTAAATTTTTTTTTCTCTTTTTTTTATTTATTTTATTTTCATTGCTATCAAAAAAAGATTTATTTATTTCCTTTTCCCCTTTTTTTTTTTTTTTTTTTTTTTTTTCATTTTTACCTTAAAAATTTATTTAAAAAAAAAAAAAATAATAATAATAATGGGAATGAAAATTTTTTTTTATTTTTTCATTTTTTTAATTTATTTCAAACATGCACACGCCGCAATAATTTTAGATAGCGAATTTACTTGCTTTGTAAAGTTTATTCAAAAGTTTAATTTGAAACAAAATTATCCAGGTAACTATATAGTTTTTTATTTAATATATTAATCTTTTATTTAAACTAATATTTTTTTTAAAATAATAGATACAGACGGGGTTTACTCAAAAGATTTATTTAATCCATATTGCCACGATAATGGATCTCTTAATACCTTTTCACCTCAAAAAGGTAGCAATGATGTTGTCACACCGGGAGCAGAAGTTTTAGATAGCGATCTTGATTGCTTTCCATTTATAACATATATCAATATTAATGGTTTTACACTCTCTGATAGTTTTCTTTATCATCATTTCCCAACAGTAGAGTCCATCAGTTTGAGCAGTAACACATTGAGTGATTTTACACAGAAATTACCATCTTACAAAACATAGTAAGTTATACTTTAAAAAATTTAAAAAAATTAAAAAAAAAAAATTAATTATAAAACATTTTTTGTTTTAAAACAATAGTAGAATTACCTCAAATAGCATCACAAATATTAAAATGTCTCATTTAAACGATATCACTTCATTTTATTTTTTTAATTTAAATGATGCAACTACTTTTGAAGTTGACAGCGGGGCAGATAAAACAAATTTAAAGAGTTTAGATATATTTTTAACAAATTTCCCAAACTTTGAGGGTTATCAATTCGATAGTGCTAAATTTACTTTCGGGGATGTTTTCAATCCATCAGATATGCTTACAAATTTTCAATATTTAAATGCTATTGAAACAGTTTTCACTTTTAATTTAAATTTTAAAGTTCCTTTTTATCTTCACCTCAACTCCTATATAAAAGTTATCGAACATTATATGGGCTATTTCGAAACACCAACTCAATTCTATGATATGTCAAATCTTGTCAATTATCAATCAATCAAGATGAGTTATGTTGGCGAAAATTTCCTTTATCAAGATAAAATTCCATTTAAAGTTAGTCCAACCACAAATCTTGCATTTTCATTGACTTTAGCTACTGCATTAACAATTAAACCTCAACTACCTCCAATTACCGATGTTGGCAATTTAAAAACTGCTGCCTATAGATATAGTTACCTATCAGGTAATTTACCAGAATATAATGGTCAAGGTTCAGCATATATTTATGACAATAACAAATTAACAGGTACTATACCTGAATCATGGTGTGGAACTGCTTTATCTGTTGCAAATAATCAATTATCAGGGTATGTATTTAATATATTTATTTTACTATCAATTAAATTAATAATATTAATGTTTTTAAAATAATTATATAGTTCTATTCCATCATGCTTTTCTTGTTATTTAGGTGCTACAGCTCATTATTCAAATGAAATTTCGGGTCCAAACGGTATTGTAACTATGGATTCAATGTATGATAGATTTGCAGGTACTTCTAATACATTTACAAATTATGATAAATCCATTCCATGTACAACATATAAACCACAAGTTAAATACCATAATCAAACAACTATTATAATTAGTGGTATTGATATTGGTCATCAAATTAACTATTATTATGTCGGTTCAATTTCAATCTCCACCCAGTGTAAACCTGTTCCAGGTGCAGTTATTAGATATGGTTATGAATATTATTGTAATCAAAACATTGGTATTCAAAATTTAAAAATTTTCACATTATACAATATAGGAAATAGTTTACATTATACTTTTGCTTTTGAAAGTAAACCACCAACTTTTACATCAATTATTACAACTGAAAATAATAAAGTATATGCAGTTGGCACATTCTTCTCAAGTTATTTAGGTCAATCAGAACAAACTATAACTATTGCAGGCACAGATTGTCAAGTTACTAACACTGGATTCACCAATTTTACTTGCATCACATCAGTTACATTATCATCAGAAAAACAACTAGTTGTAATAAAGAATGATAACCAAACTAAAAAAGTATTTGCAGTTTTCGAAAACAATAGACTCAATAATAAACAATGTCCAAATGATTGTGTAGGCTCACCATCAGGAGATATTTGCGATTTAAGCACTGGTACTTGTGTAGGTTGTCCAAACGATTGTAGCTCACACGGTCAATGTAACACTAATACTGGTATTTGTAAATGTGAAGCCAATTATATTCAAGATGATTGTTCAGAATTATACATCGAATGTCCAAATGATTGCAGTTCACACGGTAAATGCAACACTAATACTGGTATTTGTAAATGTGATGACAATTATATTCAAGATGATTGTTCAGAATTATACATTCAATGTCTAAACAATTGCAGCTCACATGGCCAATGCAACACAAATACTGGTATTTGTAAATGTGATGACAATTATATTCAAGATGATTGTTCAATATTATACATCCCATGTCCAAACGATTGCAGTTCACATGGCCAATGTAACACTAATACTGGTATTTGTAAATGTGATGACAACTATATTCAAGATGATTGCTCAGAACTATATATAGAATGTCCAAACGATTGCAGTTCACATGGTCAATGCAACACAAATACTGGTATTTGTAAATGTGATGACAACTATATTCAAGATGATTGTTCAGAATTATACATCGAATGTGCAGATCCAATATGTTCATCTCAAGGTCATTGTAATACATCAAATGGTATTTGTGATTGTAGCAATGGATTCGGTGGTGACGAATGCGAATTCAGTCAACATTATATTACATCAGTTAACCCATCAAATGAAAATGGTGGTGAAGCAAGCTTCTATGGTAGTTTCGGTGAACAACACAACCAATTATCAGTTATAATCGGATCAAAAACATGTCCAGTTACACACTCTTCAAACGATTTAATTAATTGCACAGCACCACCAGGTAAAGGTATTCACAGTGTCAATATCACTCAAAACAATATTGTTTATATTGGTAAAGATATTTACATTTATTCAAAAGTACCACAAAACATATTCGAATGTCCAAAGAACTGTTCATCACATGGTAAATGTAATACATCAAATGGTAAATGTGAATGTTATTTAGGATATACATCATTTGATTGTGGATCAATAATCGATAGTGGAGATAATACAACATCAAATGTAGATAACAGCACAGGTATTGTAGATATTAACAATGAGAAAATCAACTTTAAAATCTATCTCAAATCATTAAATGAAATAGATATTAATAATAAAGTTGTCAAGAGTTATCCATTAGTATCAGATTGGACAGTAAACAAAACACAATCAAACATTTATACATTCGAACAATCACCAAACAAAGATGAATTCAAAGTTATATCAACAATCGAACAAATTGAAAACGACAGATCAGTTTCATTTGCAGGTATCGACTTTTTACTCACCAATAACTCAATTAAATTCACAGTTTCAATTAAAAACTATAAATACCAATCATTCTTAAACACACTTCAACTTGAAATGCAATCAAACACAACTGAATTAACCAATGATGATTGCAACAGTAAAGAAACTCAATTAGACACTGAAAATCTCAAACATCAATATGATCTCAGTTATATTAAACTTTCAAAGAATAATGTCGATTTTGTAGGTAGATTCGTCAACAAAGTAGTATCAGACTCGAAACCAACATTCTTAACAACATCATACACCAAACTCAACGACTCTGTAACTATCATATTACACTTACCACATTGTGTCAATGAATGTTTAATCGATCCAGGTAATATATTAAATTAATTAAAATAATTTTTATTAAACTATTATTTAATATTAATTTTTATTTTTTATAAAACAAAATAGATTTTTCAGTATTACTATCACCAGACTTTTCAGATTGCGAATCATCAAAAGAAAATATCAAATGGCAAATACCAGTTGGTGTTGTTGTTGGTGTTGTTGGTGCCTCTTGTCTTGGTATCCTTTTCTATAAAAGAAAATCAGTTATTAAAGTAAATGGTCAAAAAATCGAAATGAAATCAGCCAAAAATAAAGTTTAAAAGTAAAAACTTTTTCAATAAAATCAAAATATTTAAAATTTTTTTTTTGATTTATTTCCATAATTACTCCATTTTTATTTAAAAATTTTATAGGGAAACATTAATTATTATAAAAAAAAATAAAAAAAATAAAAATTTTTATTACTCTATATATATCTAATTCCCTTTTTTGTTTTAAAATGTTAAAGTATAATTTGTTTTAGCTGCCATATCATTATTTAATATTATTATAGAGTTCTAAAATTATCATTATCTTTATTTTATTTCTATTATCATTTTTAAATAAAAAAGATAATTTATTTAAAAAAATTATAAAATAAAAATTTATTTTTTTATTTTTTAAATAAATTATCTTTTTTAACTTTTTTTTAAAAAAAATCATTCATTTTTATCCATTTAATAGATCAAAACAGTGCAAACACATGATTATTTATGCGCTTTTGAACTTTTTTTTTTTTTTTTTATAAAAATTTTTACTTTTCATTATTAATTTTTATTATTCATCACATTTTTTATTTCCTTTCAAAACTTTTGGTAATTAGGTGGCAAAAATATCATTTTTTTGTATTAATTACTATAAAAAATATTTTCTAAAAATATCATTATTTTTTAGATTAATATAACAAGCAAGGGTAGGAAAGCCTGGTTAAATCCGTGTGACTTAAGATCTCATCCTGTCGGTTCGCGAGTTCGAATCTCGCCTCTTGCAATCAATTTTTGATTGTTATTATCTTCCCAGAGATTTTTTTTTTTTTTTTTTTTTTTTTTTTTTTTTTTTTTTTTTTTTTTTTGCTTGTAATGTATTCATATGCATTTTAGAATTAAATGAATATTACAGTTATAATTATATCTCAACTAAATAATATATTTATATTTTCCTTTATTTTAAATAATTTATTATTTAAAATTAAAAATTAAAAATAAAAATAAAAAAATTAAAAAATTTAAAAAATAAAATTTTATTTTTTAGTTTTCACAAACAAAGAATTGTATATTTATTTGATTATTAGAATTATTTATATTTATTATTTATCTATAACTAAAGTAGCTCCATCTACATTACATGCTTTTAATTTGAAAGCGAAAAAACTGTCTTAATAACGGGAATAAAGAATCGTCTTCACTTTTTTAAAAAAAAAAAAAATTATGGGAAATATTAACTTTAAAAAAAAAAAAAAAAGAATGCATTAAGTTTAGTTCTTTTTGCTTTAAAATAATCAATACCGATTTCTTATTTTATTTTTATTTCCTTATTAAATATAATTTCCTTTATAAAAATTAAAAATTTAAATTTTATTAAATTTAATAGATTTAGTTTTATTTTTTTATTTTTTTATTTTTTTTTAAAATTTATATTTTTTCTTAAGATTAATTTTTTAATAAAAAAAAATAAATAAAATTTTTTAAATCCAAAATAAAATTATAAAAGATTATTAATTCATTATTTTTAATGTTATTTTACTTTAAAAATAAAACAAAAATAAATACTATAAAATGTCAATGAAAGGTGGGTAATTTTATTTTATTTATCAAAAAATAAAATACAAAATATTAACTTTAAAGTTAATTTATTTAGCTGCTGTTTTTAAAGAAAAAAATGGTCAACTGGAAATAGTTGAAAAACCAATACCAGAGCCAGCAAAAGGATGGGTTAGAATAAAAGTAATTAGCTGCGGTGTATGTCATTCAGACTTTGCGATACAACATGGTAAATAGTGATTTTAGTGAAACTTATTATTAATCTTATTATAATTTCTAATAACGAAAACATAAAGGTTTTTTAGGAAACCCATTTCCAAGAACGCCAGGTCACGAAGTTGTAGGTGTTATCGATAAGATTGGTGAAGGTGTAGAATCAAATAAATTTTCTTTGGGTAAACTGGGTGCTGTAGGTTGGTTTGGAGGTCATTGTGGGTCATGTCCTTCATGTTTAGAAAATGAATGGGCTCATTGTGAAAAAGGAAAGGTTTGTGGTATTCATTATGACGGTGGTTATGCAGAGTATATGACATGTCCTGAAGATGCTTTGGTATTTGTCCCAGAGGGTATGGATCCAATTGAATCAGCTCCATTATTATGTGCCGGTATTACTGTATACAATTCATTTAGAAACTTAAATATTAAGTCAGGATCGTTGGTCGGTGTTCAAGGTATTGGTGGTTTGGGTCATTTAGGTATTCAATTTTGTCATAAAATGGGTTATGAAGTTATTGCAATGTCAGGTGGTAGTAGTAAGAAAGAGTTAGCTAAAAAGTTAGGTGCTGCTCATTATGTCGATATGTCCAAAGATTATATCGACGAAATGAAAAAGATTGGTTCAGTTAAATGTATTTTAGTCACCGCTCCAAATGCACAAAACATTCAAGGAATGTTAGAATCTTTAGGCGTCAATGGTAAATTGGTAATGCTTGCACTTTTACCAGAACCATTCAATGCAAATGCTGGTACATTAATTGGTGGTAATAAATCAATTGTTGGTTGGGCTTCAGGTGATTCTCGTGTAAGTATAAATAATATAGTTATACATTGCACTAAATATATAAAATAAATAATGTGTAATAAAAACATACTAATTATTTTTGAACAATAATTAAATTTAGGATTCTGCTGATACTCTTCATTTTGCTAAAATGAATGGAGTCAAACCAATGGTCAAATCATTCCCATTAGAACAAGCTAGAGAGGCTTTAGAAAAAATTAGTGATGCAAGATTTAGACATGTAATTGAATTCAAAAAATAATTAAATCATTATAGAAATAAAAAATAAAAAAAATTCATAAAATTTGATTATGTAGAATTTAAAAAGAAAAGATAAGGATGAAAAAGTTTTAGATATGCAAAAACGGTGTTTTTAAAAAAAAAAAAAAAATTTATCAAAATTGATTTGAGAATTTAATGGAAACAGAACCCACTTCTAAATTTTCGATTAATATCTAAATTATAGCTGTTATTATTTTTCATTTTTTTTTTATTTTATTTTATTTTATTTTATTTAATTTTTTAATTTTTTTAATTTTTTTAATTTTTTTTTTTAATTTATTTTTTTTAAATTTCGATGTATTTTTTGAAAGTATAAAATGGGTTTTTTTTTATTTTATATTTTTTATATTTTTAAATATAAAACAATAAAAAGAAAAAGATAAAAAATGATGAAAGCAGCAGTTTTTAAACATAAAGGAGCTGAAATTGGTATTTATTCAAATTACAATTCTTTTAATTGTTAACAAACCAAATCTAATAATATTCAAATAAAATTTAAATTAAATATAGAGATTGTCAATATGCCAATTCCAGAGCCAAAGAAAGGATGGATAAGGATCAAGGTTATTAGTTGCGGTGTTTGTTCTGGTGACAATGTTGCTCGTTTCGATGGTTTCGGAGGAACACCCTATCCAATTGTACCAGGCCACGAAGTCATTGGTTCCATTGATAAACTAGGTGAAGATGTCGATGCAAATAAATACAAACTTGGTTCATTAGCTGGTTGCGGTTGGTTTGGTGGTTCGTGTCACAAAAAAGAATGTGAAGATTGCACTCTTGAGGACCAATGGGTTCATTGTAAAGAAAGTTTAGCAATTGGAACTACTGTTAACGGCGGTCATTCAGAGTATGTTTTAAATAAAAAATCAAAAAATCAAATAACATTTACTAATATTTTTATTTATTTTTAATAGATATGTAGTTATCCCAGAAGATGCATTGGTTATTATTCCAGATGGTATGGATCCAGTTTCATCATCTCCATTATTATGTGCCGGTTTAACAGTATTTAATTCATTTAAAAATCAAAATATTAGAAAAGGTGCATTGGTTGGTGTTCAAGGTATTGGTGGTTTAGGTCATTTGGGTATCCAATTTGTTAAAAAGATGGGCTATGAAGTTATTGCAATGTCAAGTGGCAGTACCAAGAAAGAATTAGCAAAAGAATTAGGCGCTGATCACTATGTTGATATGTCTAAAGACTATGTTAATGAAATGAAAAAGATTGGTTCAGTTAAATGTATTTTAATGACAGCACCAAATAAAGATTGTTTCCAAGGCTTAATTGATTCATTAGGTACTAATGGTAAATTATTGGTTTTAGGTGCAGTCCCAGAATCTGTTAATCTTAATTCACTTTCTCTAATTGGTGGTAATAAATCCATTGTTGGTTGGGCTTCAGGTGATTCTCGTGTAAGTATTTATTTTATTTATAAATATAGTTTTCTTAATAATTTTTAAATATTAATTATATTTCTTTTACTATCCAAAACAGCAATCACTTGAAACCCTTCAATATGCACACTCTAATCAAGTCAAACCAATGGTAAAAGAATTTAAACTTGAAGAACTTCAAAAAGCTCTTGATACAATTGGGGATGCTAGATTCAGATATGTTATTAAATTCAATTAGATAAGCAAATAAAAAAAATTAAAAAAAAATTAAAAATAAAAAAAGAAATTATAATTTTAATTTATTTTCTAAAAATTAAATGGATAAAAGTTAATGAGAAAACAAATAATTCTGGTTTTTCTTTATATTCTTTAGTTAGTCTTTTATAAATTTCTTTATATGTGGAATTTACTTTTTCACTATCACCTTTGATTGCACTTTTAATTGAATATGAACTAAATGCCATTATGCTTCCAATAAAAGTTTCTTTACTTACTTCATCTTTATTCCAGGCTTGGTGAATGATTTGAGTATCAAGTAATTTCATTCCTTTGGATTCTACAAGCTCTACAGCATGATCAATTTCATCTTGCTTATAGTATGTTACTGGTAAAACCATATTATCTACCTCTTCATGAGATAGTATATTTTCATTGGCCATTTGTCTAATAACACTTTTAACATTTTTAAAAGTTTGTTCACCTATACTTGTAATTTCATTTTCTGGGTCATAATATAAAAAGTTGCAAACAAAAACACCATTATCTTTTAACTCCTCACAACGATTTGTAAAAATTGATGATAAACGTTTTTTATTATATTCAACAGTACCAGGTCTACGTGAAGAATCTTTGATATTTAACATTCCATCTTTACATTCAAACATTCCATCTTTACTATTACACCAATGAAAAGTATTAAATGAAAATATAAAATCACATGATCCACTTGGCATTAATTGATTCAAAAATGAATTACCAATAGCAAAGGAAAATATATCCCATTTATTCTTGTATGAATTTTCATTCTTATTAACTTCAAAAAATAATTCAGTAAAATTATTTATCTCTTGATCACAATGATAAATCTCTATTGCATCTTTATTTTTAATTTGAGCATTTGTTAAAATAGAATCCAAAAATAATACTGAATTTTTCCCATGGGATGAACCAATATCCAAGATTTTAAAAGTTTTTTTGTTAGGGGAGTTTTTAAAATTATTGATTGGTTTTTCTATTAATGAATTAATTTTATCAATAAATCTAAAAATTAGTATATTTTGAATTTTTGAATTATCATTATAGTTTTCCATTGATTTTTAATTAAAGTTATTATTTTTGATAATAAATAAAAAAAATAAAAAAATATTTATATAAAATTATTAAAACTAATTTTTAAAAAAAAAAAAAAATTTGTGGTATTAAGGTATTAATCTTTCGGATTTTTATTTTTAATTTTTAGTGGCAGTATTTTTATTAAAACTTTAATAAGAAAATCAAAGTACTTTTTCTATCGGAAAGATTTCTTTAAAAAAGTAATATAAAATAAAATATTAAAATATAAATTTTATTTAGCGTCTATCTATTTTTTTTAATTTAAATGATAATATTTTAATACTATATTTATGTTTTCTATATAATACAATTGAAATAGCCACTAATGCAGAAACAAAAACACAGGGAACTACCACAGCGACTGGAATTAACCAATTATTTTTTTTTCCATTTGAACATTCAGATTTAAATCCTGGTGTAATTAGCAAACTAAAATCTAATAAGAAAAATTTTATTAGTATATAAAAATTAATATTTCTAAAAAAAAAATAAAAAATATTTACCTGGATCAATTAAACATGAATATTGGCAATGTGGTAAATTTAATGAAACTATAACATTTAATTCTCCATTACTATTTTTAGTTTGATTTATAAAACTTGACATAAAAGTTGCTCTGCCATCTGAAACGACTTGATTAATAAATCTTCCCACTAACTGACGTGAGTTTTTACTAATGCTAATATAGTTTGTATCTTTTTGGTTATCTGCATTTGATGTATCAATTGAAACTTCTTTTTCGTTACATGTATCATCACTATTTTGTTGGTTTGAAGAGGTACCTGAAATAAATGATAATAAAAGAGTATTTAAAGAATTTTGATACTGGTAATTTGAAATATTTACTGAAATTTTAATTGCTTCTTTTGGTACCATAAAATTAACTGTTCCAAATTGAAATTCTTTATCTTGCTTAACCTCTTCGATAATATATGTTATTTTTGAAATTTCATCAATTTTTTGTTCAAATGTAAAAATGTTACTATCTTGTTCTTGATCTAAAAATACCCAATTCTCTTCTAATGAATGATTTTGAACTATTGAACCATCAATTGATATTTCCTTTAATGAAGCAACTCCAATTTTATAAACTGTTTCTTTGCTATTCATTTTTGCTCCACCAGTTTTAGTATCGACGGTAGTGTTAACAAATGGTGCTGAAATTGCTAATTCTTTTTTAACAGAGCAGTCGAAACCCGTCCAATCACCAAGGCACTCGCATGAACCAGATGTCGCATTACATAAACCGTTTGAAATATTTGTGCAATTATTTGGACATTGTTTAATTGGATTATAAAAATTAAAAATACCAATACCAGTAAAACTAATGTTATATTTTGAATTTGTGACTTTAATATTTTGAGTACCCATACCTGGGCCTAATAAACATTGAATCTCGGTATTACTTTTTGAGTTAACTTGACAATTTTGTGAACCAATTATTACTGTGTATTCTGATGTTGTATCTGGGAATAAACCGTATAATGTAACACTACCACCATCCACAGAGCACGGTATAACAGATGTGACATAATGTGATGGAATTGAACAATTTGAACCTGTATAATTTGGTAAGCATTTACATTTGCCATTTACTTCATTACATGCACCATTCAGACATGTTTCTTTGCATACATAACCCGAACAATCAAACAATGCCCTATCAGCGTCACAATGGCAAACCCCTTCTACACAAGTACCTGCATTTGAACAACTACTTGGACACAAAGGTTCTACTACACATACACCCCCGACCAACTTGAAACCTTTATTACAAATACAAGTACCATTAGCAAGACAATATTGATTTTCCCCGCACATTATATTTTCTCCACACATTATATTTTCACTACTCATATCTATATACATCTCTTCCAATAGCGGTTGTGGTACTTTAATTCCAAGACCATTATCATCAATAGTTACAATTGCTTTAACACTTGTTTTTGTGAAATCTAAAGTAATTGGAACTTGGCAAAAAATACTTGAAAATGTGGAGGATAATATTAAACAATCAAAACCATCTAGAGTTACTTTAATTGAAGTTTTATTATAACTAAAAAAAGAACCTTTGAATTCTAAATGACCTTGAGCTTGACTTGGGATAATATTCGTAAAAATTGGTTTCTTTGAAAAAGGTGATAGCTTAAATGTTTGAGTAGATGAACCGTCGGTTGCTAATGCTATAAAAGTTACATCCAATGTTTCTGGTACAGAAGATAGGATCATTGGTACTTTAAAAATCTTTGAACGCTGAACAAGTTTAATTTGAAGATTATTATATGGTGAGGGTAAGATAATATCTTGAACAGATAAACCAACATCTTTACCATGAATATATAACACTGGAGAGTAGTAAATAATAAATTTTTAAAATTAATAAACATGTTTGAACTTTGTAATAAAAATATTGAAAAATTTTAAATAAACTTACTTTCTTCACTTGAATTATACCAAAGATTGGGGATAATAGTTGTACAGGGCGGGATAGGATTTAAGTTTGTAAATTTATTATTACTAAAAGCATAAGAAATTGGTGTAAAATAGCAAACAAAACAACTAGGTAGAGGACCCTCCAATTGATTATTTTGAATACGTAGATCTTTAATGTGACAAAAACTTTCATCGAGAGTACCTGTAAGAGAATTATAGGACAAATCTAAAGATTCTAATCTACTAAGTTGGCTTAATCTCCATGTTGAAATATCTAAACCAATTGAATCATAAGATAGTACTAAGGAGGTAAGTTTTGGAGAGTTATTGACAAAATCTCTTGGATCTGAAAGAAAACCACTGCTTATTGAAAGTGATTCTAAATTTGGATGTGGTAAAAAAGGAATTTCATTGTTTACATGAAAACCACCTGTATCACGAAAATTCATAACTTTTAATTTTTTTAAATTTGATAAATCGATTTTAGTTGATTTGGGATTATATTGTGCTCTTGATCCACTAGAAAAAAGAAAACTATTAATATTTATTATTATCATTAAAAAATTGAAAAATAACTATACTTTACATTTGCTCAAAGATATTATCGTCAGGAATTTGAGAAAAAGGTGGGAAATCGGATAGTCCAGTTACATAATAAATGTCTAAAATTCTTACTTTTCTGTATGATAATAGATTGGTGTAATCGTATGGTTTATTGGTAATAAATCTTAGAGAACTGATTGCCATTAATTCACTTATTGGTGGTAAATTATTTGATGTAAAATAACAAATTATTGGAAATTGAACTGCACCCAGTGATAAAAGATCATTATTTAATATGATAGAACTTGTTGATACTTTGTTTACACTAACTTCATAAGCACTTTAAAATGATTAAAAAAAAAAATATTAATATAAAAAAGAAAAATAATTATTATTTTAATTATAATTATTAATATTTACAAAGAATTTAAAGTTTTAATTTTTGAGAAATCTAATTGAAATGCAAGATTTGGTTCTTCAATACTTGTAAAACTGATATCTTTAAGTGAAGTTGAAACTGGATTTAAAAATAACTGACCCATTGAAGTACCCAAACAACCAGAACAACCAATTGAAGTTAATTTTGGATAAATTGGTAATAATATATCCTTATCAAAATATGATCTAGTTACATATAAACTCTCTAAAAAATTCATACAAGATATATCTGTTGGTTTAATTTCGTAGGTTGATGATTGAATTATTTGTCTATAATAAAAAATTAAAAAAAATTAAAAGTTAATAATAAACACATAAATAAAAAAATAAAATAAGGCATGATATTAACATTGCTTTTACAAAGTATTGCGAAGTATCTTCTTGAAGTATATTACATGTTATTCCTGATATTGTACATAAATTTGATGGAAGATTGGTTACACCAATTAAGTTTAAAAAAGTGCTAAGACATGTTGCTGTTTCATTATTTGTAAATAAAGAAAATAAAAATTAATATAAAAAAAAAAAAAAAAATTATTTATATGTGTTTAATATATATATATTAAACAAAAAATGTAAAAATTGATTGATTAATGATGTTATGGAATGAAGTTAAATACCTTGGTCAGCGGGTAATATTTGCGAATTGACATATATTATAAAATTTAAAAAAATTAAAAAAAATTTGTATATTATCATTTTGGTTTACAATGTATTTATACAATATTTAAAATAATTTTATTATTTTTCGATTCGAAAAAAAAACAAAATTATAAATAATTTAAAAAAAAAACCAATCATTTTCTCAAAACCACTCTGCACAAATTCTAAAAAAAAAAAAAGATTTTTATTTTTTTATTTTTTATTTTTTTAATTTTAATTTTTTTAATTTTAATTTTTTTTTTTTTTTTTTATAAACCATAATTTAATAACCATATAAGCTAAATTAAAATGAAATTACTATTATTATTAGTGTGTATTTTAATTTTAAATTTTGATGCATTCATAAACTGTCAAAATTTATATGCAAATTTTATACCATATCAGAGTAATGGGTGTACCAACGAAATTGAAGGCATCGGATTTTCATTTGTAGCTACCACAGATGAGTGTTACAGCAAAGTTGGGAGATCATTAAACGATGTTTTTAATAGCAATAGCGAAGACGACTTTTCAAGCACTGAGAGCAGCAGTAGTGACAGTATCGAGTCATCATGGTTTATAGTTATTGATGCATTACGTGTAGGAGTTGCCGAATATGATAACGATAATTCAACATGCACTGGTAATTTTGTAAATGCAACCTCAATTAAAAACGGAACATGTTTATCAACACCAAACTTTATTCCATTCATCGGACTAATTAATAATCAAAATACCTTAACTCAACAATTTTCGTTAGTTACCATCTCAAAAGAACCATACTATCCAGATAATGTTCAAGTTTATTCAATTTTTGATAACCAGAGTTCAGACTGTGACCTCCAAAACTTATCATATTCAGTTTATTTTTCAACAAATTTAAATATATCACTTAAAAATAATAATAATAATCAATTTTTCCAAACTCAATGTAAAAATGGAATTGCAACAAATAATTTATGTAACTCTTCATCAAATTGTAATCAAATAGTTATACCTGACGCATGTGATTTTAATAATGACTATGGCTTTGACCAAATTTATTGTACCTCTCAATAAAAATAATAAAAATAAAAATAAAAATAAAAATAAAAGTAAAAATAAAAATAAAAATAAAAATAAAAATAAAAAAACTATATAGGTTTTAATTTTTTAAAGGAAATAAATAAACAATTAAATATAAAATTATATTATTATTTTAATTATTTATTATAAAAAATAATTATTCATATTTTCTATTTTTTTTATTTATTATTATCTTTTTTTTTTTTTTTGAAATATTTTGTACAACATGGTAAAAAAGTTAAATATAATAATCATATTTTCATATTATTTGGGTTTGTTCCCCCAAGTAATTATAAAATCATTTTAAAATAATAAAATAAAAAAAGGTAGTTTTATAATAAAAGGAAAAAAAAAGGTTTTTATATTTTAATTAAAAAAAAAAAAAAAAAAAAAAATTAAAAAAATAAAAATTTTTAAAATAAAAATTAATTATTATAACAATTGTTTTTGTTGATATAAGTAAATTTAATTTAACTTTTAATCTTAAAATCAAATTATTTGTAAAAACCGTTTAAAAAACATGTCATTTGTTGTTGCATTTACGTTATATTACCAATATATTCGATATGTTAATAGATATAAGAATTATTATAATAAAAAAAATTAAAAATAAAAAAATTAAAAGTGTTTTTTGTTAAAATCCTTTTATTAATAAAATAGGATAAGTTTTAAAAATGGTGTTTAGTTGTGGTTGGGTTATATTTATTTTATATGTGGGAGGGTGTGTGTGGATATGTTTGGATTTGTGTGTGGTATCTATTATTTTAATAAAAAACAAAATAATAATAAAATTATTTTATCCTAATAATGTGTAAATATAAGATTATTGTTGTTAAAGTACAATCACTAATAAAATAAACAATTAAGTTAAAACATTATCATTTATGCTGTTATATTTTTATTTTATTTTATTTTTTTTTGTTTTTTTTGGGGTAAAATAAATTTATTATATTTTGTTGTTGGTTTTTGATTTTCATTTGAAAAATAATGATAACTTTTTTGATAATATTTAATTAATTAGTAAACGATGATCAATTATAATAAAAGAATAACTAGCCAATAACTACACTTTTCACACCATTAACACTCAACCTTATATATATTTTAAAAAAAAAAATAAATAAAAAAAAATTAAATTTTAACTTATCACACATAACCTAATAATCTCGGTAATATAGTGGATAGAGTATTTCTTTATTTTAGTCCATTTTTTATAATAATCGGGTTTTATTATCATACTTTTTAAAATTATTGATATTATGGATTTTTTTCAAAATAATTAAATATTATAAATAATGAAACTAATGACATAAAAAAAAGTATAAAAGAAAAATAAAAAAAAATTTATAATCATTCAATCAAATATTCAATTATTTAATTAAATAAAATATATTTTATATTTATTATTTATTTATTTATTTATTTATGTTTTTAATATAGTTTTCAATAATTTACTATTTATTATATATTATTTATTTATTTATCTATCACTATTTATTTTTTAACTAATCAGTTATAATAAAAATTTAATAAAAAAAAAAAAATGAAAGTTTTAAGTCTTCTTTTAGTAGTCTTTTTATTATTTAGTATTATTTTAGCCCAAGACTCATCAGCTGCTAGTAGCCAATCAAGCGGTGCTATCATTGATTCATCAGCATCTGAAAATAATTCAACTGATTCAAGTGCCTCTGCAAGTGGTAGTGGTAGTTTATCATCATCATCATCATTTGACTCTAGTGCATCAAATAGTGGTTCAAATAGTGCCAGTGGTAGTTTTTCATCATCATCATTAGATTCAAGTGCTTCATCAAATAGTGGTTCAAATAGTGCTGGTTCATCATCATCATTTGATTCAAGTGCTTCATCAAACTCTGGTTCAAACAGTGCCTCATCCACTGATTCATCTGCCTCATCAAACTCTGGCTCAAACAGTGCATCATCAACTGATTCATCTGCATCAAACTCTGGTTCAAACAGTGCCTCATCAACTGACTCATCTGCCTCATCAAACTCTGGTTCAAATAGTGCCTCATCCACTGACTCATCTGCCTCAGGTTCATCTGCTTCATCTACTGACTCATCTGCATCAAACTCTGGTTCAAATAGTGCCTCATCAACTGATTCATCTGCCTCAGGCTCATCTACTTCATCAACTGATTCATCTGCCTCAGGCTCATCTACTTCATCAACTGATTCATCTGCTTCAGGCTCATCCACTTCATCCACTGACTCATCTGCCTCAGGTTCATCTGCTTCATCTACTGATTCATCTGCCTCTGGTTCATCTGCCTCATCTACTGATTCATCATCAAACTCTGGTTCAAACAGTGCCTCATCAACTGATTCATCTGCCTCTGGTTCATCTGCTTCATCAACTGATTCATCTGCCTCTGGTTCATCTGCTTCATCAACTGATTCATCTGCCTCATCAACTGACTCATCATCAAACTCTGGTTCAAGCAGTGCTTCATCAACTGATTCATCTGCTTCAGGTTCAGAAGGTTCATCATCAGAAGGTTCATCATCAGATGGCAATGTTAAATGTTTCTCACATCACAATACTCTCTCTGTTAGCAGCTTAAACGAAACCATTGAATGTAAAGGTCGTGGTGAAACTAGATGTATCTCTGAAAGTGGTTACTTATGTGCTACAGCTGGTCGTGAAAACCGTCGTACTCAAATCGAATGTTCAGCCAACACCTACATTAGATGCACTGGTGACTACATTAGATGTTCAGTTGGTAACACTGAATGTGCTATTCGTGATGGTGATTTAAAGATTACTGAATCACCAAAATACCCACCACACTGGAACAAACATTAAAATTGTTTATTTCATCTCCTTTATTATAGTGTAATCTCGATTAATTCTTTTTAAAGTGATTCATGTATTAATAATAGTAAATTAAAAAAAAAAAACATAATTAATAATAACAATAATAACATAATCAATTATTATTTATATTATATTATGATATTTATTATGTATATTCCTTTATATATTTATTTAACAAAATTTTTAAATAAATCAATTAGTTTTTAAAAAAAAAAAAAAAATAGTTTTACTTTTATTTATTTTATTGATATGTTTTATAATTTTGATATTAAAGACTTTGAAAAATTTAACATTGACTTTTGAATATTCTTTTGATTTTTATTGTCGAAAAATAAAAAACTGTCACTTGCACCACTATAATGTAAATGAAAATCTGTACTAAACTTAACCAATTTTATAGCTGATTCAAATTCTTCCTTTCTGTTATCTAAACATAAATTTATAAAATAAAAATGATCCAATAAATTTGGTTTAATATAATGAACTAATGGTACCATTTTAATACTATTATTTTGATCCCATGGGTCAACGATTGAAACAGAATCTTTATTATTTATATTATTATTATAACCATTATTACTATTATTATTTATATTATTATTAATATTATTATTTATACTATTATTAAAATTACAATTACTATTTACATTATTTACATTGATATTATTATTTATGTTACATAAATTATTATTTTCATTATTATTACTATTACTATTTAAAAAATGATTATTATTATTATTATTTAATTTGTTATTATAAATTAAAAAACCCAATCTTTTAACTTTTTCAATTAATCTTTGATTCATTAATCTTTGAACACCAATGATGGTAGTGTAATGGTGATCTTCTGCATATTTAAATAACCATATTAATAATGCTTCATAAATTAAATTCCTTCTATAATCTGGGTGAACGCAAACACGATTAAAATCTATAATTCTTTGGTTATATCTATCTATTTTTATTTTATTTTGGCTAACCTCTTCTGTTTTAAATTCACTATAAAAATTAAATTTAATTAATATAATTATTATAGCCTTTAAGTTATTATTACTATTATTATCACCATAATCATCACCTATACTATTATTGTTATTATTATTTATGATTATTTATAATATATACCCTTTAATATTTTCGAATGTGATTCTTCCAACTGCAATTAATTTATTATTATGTTTTATTATTGCATATTTTGATTGGTCATCATAACTATCCAATTGAATTTTATTTTTATTTTTATTATTATTTGTGCATAAACATATTAGTTTTGAAATTTCATCTGTTAATTCTTCTTCGATATTCAAATCGAAATTATAATATTTATAACTATACATTTATTTTGATTTACAATTAAGCAATATATTATTTATTTAATGTATTGTGTTTGTAATAAATTTAAACTTTGAAAAAATAATTAAAAAAAAAAAAATTTTAAAAAATTTTAAAAAAATAAAAAAGTGTTGTTGATTTTTCAATGCACTGGTTGGGTGAGAGTATGATTAGGGTGTATATTATATATAATCTATAAAATAATGTGGTAAAATATTAAATCCCAAACCGAAAATAAATATTAAAATTTTAAAAAAAAAATAATTTAAAATAATTAAAAAAAAAAAAAAAGATATTTTTTAAAATACCTTTTCGTAAAAACATGTTTTAAACCCCCATTTTAAAATAATTATTATTTTATATTTCAGTGATTTAAAAAATATGGGATTCAAATAAACATAAAATAAAAAGAAATAGTGTATTTTTATATATTATAAAGCTATTATTATTTATCATTGAAATTTATTAATTATCTTTTGGCTGGAGCACCACCACCTTGAGCACCACCCCCTTGTTGTTGTGGTGGTGGGGCAATTAAATTTACAAGCATGACTAAAAAGATTGGTAATAAGTAGTACCACTAAAATTTTAAATAAAAAGATATATTAATATTTATATGTTAAAAAATAAATAAAATGTTAATAGCTTACATATTTTCCAATGAATGATTGATTTTCTTCTTTTTCTTTTTCTTCTTTCTTTTCTTTTTCTAATTTTGGTTCATCATTTGCCATTTTTAAAACATCTTCAGAGAATTCAATACGAACATAAATTGGATCAACTGCACCTGTTTTTTTATTTGGAACGACTGGTGTTGTTTTTTTTAATTGATAATTGCTTGCTAAAACATTAAAATTATTAGAATCCAAATTAATCTTTAAAAATTCATATTGTAATGATGAGTCATTTAATGAGCTTTTTGGTAATGATGAAAATGTTAAACTATTTGGTTGTCTATCTGAAAATACTGTAGTTTTAAATAAATCACCAGATTTAAAATAATACTAAATAAAAAAATAACATTAATTATTATTATTATTATTATTATTATTATTATTATTATTATTATTATTATTATTATTATTATTATTATTATTATTATTATTATTATTATTATGAAAAAGATATGTTGTTAATAATGTTGTGATAGTTTAAAATATTTTGAAATATAGAGTAATAATTACGTTTCTATTTTCTTTTGATAATGGCTGTGTACATTTAATTGAAAATGCTTTTCTATTTCTAACAGAGTCAACGAATGAAATTGATTCAGTTGAATGTGGAATTAATTTTGGTTTAAATACAACTGTACATGGTAATGCTTTATCTTCATTATGGTACATGGTAAATTCAATATCTTTAGTTGAATGTAAATTACTGACACTTATACTATTGACATTATTATTATTATTTATAATAAATATTATTAAAAATATTATTAATATTCTATTTATCATTATTATATTGTTGTTGTTGTTGTTGTTTTGTTAATCTAAATTAAATTAGTTAATGAACTTTTATTTTTTTTATTTTTTTTTGAAAATAATGAAAATGATAAAAAATTAAAAAAAATTAAAAAAAAAAAAAAAAAAAAATTTTTTAAAATTTTGGAATTATTATTACTTTTTTTATTTTTGATTTAAAATAGGCTTTTTTCTATTTTTTAAATAATTTAATAATTATCATCGATATGTAAACAAAAGAAATACTCCTACATCCAATAATAGTGGTTAAACACGCCCAAACCAGTGATGGCTTGAAAATATTTGTATTATGTAAAGAGTGTTCCCAAGATATTATTTTAGATGGCTATCTACGAAATGCAACCCAACTCAACATTTTAAACGTTCATATGGATTTATTCAAACCAATTACAGCTAAAATGTTACCAAATCAATATAGATATCTTCAAATTAAATGTGACTATAAATTCTGAAATAATATATTAACAAATAATAATTTTTTTCTAAAATTTAAATAAAAACTAATCAAAAGAAAACAAAAATAATGCTATACGTAGAATTATTATATTGCCTTTAGATTCCAATGGTAACCTTACGCATATTGAAATTTAAATATTAAATAAAATAAGTTAAATTAAACTTTTAAAAAAAATAATCCCCAAAAAAATTAAAGAAAAAAAAATTTTTAAAGATTTTATAATTAATTTTTAAAGATAATAAAATGGTATTAATACCATTATTTATTTAATTTATTGATTTTATTGATTTTTATACTATTAGCCACTCTTTGTAAAGAGTGTTTCCAGCTCTACCACGGGGAGGTTAGTATATTAGAGCCGAGCGTTTAATTATTTATACCTTCAGGCGGTATAAATAATTAAACAGCATATTGAAAATTTGTGGTTAATTATGTATACCACCACGCAGTATACACAACCAACCATCACATTGAAAATTTGGTAAATTTCAAAAACATAGATACCAAGCGGGCCCAACTCAGTATCTATGTAATCAAAATACCAAATGGGAGTTGATTGTATGATTTATATTTCTTGATATTTTTGAATGTTTCATATTATTTTTTTTTGCTAATAAATACTTGATATTTAGTATGATCTATATTACTTGATATTCTGTATGATCTATATTACTTGATATTTTTTAAATGCTAAATAATATTTGAGATTTTTTTATGATCCATATTACTTGTTATATTTTATATGATAAATAATATTTGATATTTTTTATGATCTATATTACTTGATATTTATATAATATCCAGATTACTAGATATATTTAATTATCCATAAAAATAATCATTATATTCAATAAAAAAACAAAAGATCGTTGATTGAAAACTTGGTTGACTGTTAAAAAATATTTTATATTTTTTAATGATAAATTATGCTTGAAATTTTTTAATGCTAAATAATATTCGATATTTTTACATGCCAAATAATAATTGATATTTTGTATGATCCATAATATAATACTTGATATTTTATTTTTGAATGTTACATAATACTGGATATTTTTTATTGCTAAATAATGCTTGATATTTTTATTGCTAAAAAATATCAAATATTTTTTTATGATCTATATTACTTGATTTTTTTTATGATGCATATTACTTGATATTTTTTAATTATCCATAATACTTTCCTCATAATCATTACCTTTAATAAAAAACAAAAAATAGTTGTTTGAAAAATTGTTTGAATATTATATAATATTTTATATTTCTTAATGATACTTGAAATTTTTAAATTCTAAATAATATTTTTATTTTTTAATTCTAAAAAATACATGATATTTTATTTTTGAATGTTAAATAATACTTGATAATTTTTATTACTAAATAATATTTGATATTTTTTTATGATCTATATTATTTGATATTTTTTTATGATCTATATTACTTGATATTTTTTAATTCCAAATATTACTTGATATTTTTGTATGATCAACATTACTTGATATTTTTAATAATCCATAATACTTACCTTATAACCATTACATTCAATAAAAAAAAAAGATAGTTGATTGAAAACTTTATTGAATATTATAAAATATTTTATATTTTTTAATGATACATAATAAATAATGCTTGAAATTTTTTATTGCTAAATAATATTTTATATCTTTTAATGCTAAATTATACCTGATAATTTTTTATGATCCACATTACTTGATATTTTTTAATGCTACCTTATAATCATTATACAATTATCTTGATGTTCTTGAATGATGAAAATGAAAAATGAAAATAAATTTTGTAAAATTATTTTCTTTAAATACTTTTTAGTTTTATGGAATAAAAATAAATAAAAAAAAATTGAAATTGAAATTAAATAAATAATCTATAACTATTTCCTAATTTATTTTAAACATCAATCAATAAAAAAAATTAAAAAAAAATTAAAAAAAAAAAAAAATTATTTAATTTTTTAAAAAAAAATACTTAATTTAAAAAATAGTGGGGTGATTCCCAAAAAAAAAAATTTTTATTATAATTAATTAAACATATTTCCTTTTTAGTATAAAAATTATACAATTATATTATTTTATTATAAATCTTTTTATAAAATAAAGTGGAAAAGGAATAAAGTAAGGATTTCGATGTTCGTTATATGATAATAAAATTTGTATATGAAACCACGAATGGATTGTAATCATTAAAAAAAAAAATAATAAAAAAATAAATAAAAAAATAAAAAAAATAAAAAAAAAAATTAAAATTAAAAAATAAAAAATTTTTTCATCACATTTTTATACACATCAAAAAATCTTTCTTCTTTTATTAATAATGTTGTATTCTTTAATGAATTCACTAAAATGAGAAAAAATACATGAAAAAAACGCTGATATCATATAAATAAATATAGTATAATATAATAAAAATGAAATATCACATATCATCAGAGATTTTGATATTGATGTCACGGAATATATTCAAAAATATTTAATAAATTAAAAAAACTTGTAAAATAAATTTTTTTAAAAGTAAAACTACCATCTAATTTTATTTTACTTTTTTTATTGTAATTTAATAACATGTCTAAATCTTGCATCACCAATATTATCTAAAGCCTCTCTAGCTTGTTCTAATGGGAATGATTTGACCATTGGTTTGACATTATTGTTTTTAGCGAAAACTAGAGTGTCATGGAGGTCCTGTATATTTAAAATTAATTATTAATAAAACAGTAATATATATATCAATTAAATAATAACAATATAATAATACTTACACGAGAATCACCTGAAGCCCAACCAACAATGGATTTATTACCGCCAATTAATGTACCGGCATTGGCATTGAATGGTTCTGGTAAAAGTGCAAGTAATACTAATTTACCATTGATGCCTAATGATTCTAACATTCCTTGAATGTTTTGTGCATTTGGAGCGGTGACTAAAATACATTTAACTGAACCAATCTTTTTCATTTCGTCGATATAATCTTTGGACATATCGACATAATGAGCAGCTCCTAATTCTTTAGCTAATTCTTTCTTACCACTACCACCTGACATTGCAATAACTTCATAACCCATCTTTTTAACAAATTGAATACCTAAATGACCTAAACCACCAATACCTTGAACACCGACCAATGATCCTGACTTAATATTTAAGTTTCTAAATGAATTGTATACAGTAATACCTGCACATAATAATGGAGCTGATTCAATTGGATCCATACCCTCTGGGACAAATACCAAAGCATCTTCAGGACATGTCATATACTCTGCATAACCACCGTCATAATGAATACCACAAACCATTGAATGTGTGCAAAAAATCCATTGATCTTCACGACAATTATCACATGTACCACATCCATTTTCTCCTCTACCTCCATACCAACCAACACCTACAAGTTTACCCAATTCAAATCTAGTAGCATCTACACCATCTCCTAATTTATCGATAACACCAATAACTTCATGACCTGGTGTTCTTGGGAATGGGTTACCAAAGGCTCCTATTTTTGTTTTAAAAAAATAATTAATATTTAAAAAAATAGAAAAATAATAAAAATAATACAGAAAATACATACCACTTTTAACTACAAAATCTGAATGGCATACACCGCAACTATGTACCTTAATTCTAACCCAACCTTTTGCTGGTTCTGGGATTGGTTTTTCAACGATTTCAAGTTGACCATTTTTTTCTTTAAATACAGCCGCTTTCATTGTTGACATTATTATTTTTTCTTTTTTTTATTTATTAAAAAGATTATTTGAAATAATTAATATATATTTGTAAATATAAAAGTTTTTAAAAAAAATTATAAAATTTTTTTCAATTTATACTTTTTTTTTTTTGATTGGATATTTAAAAAATAAAACCCATAATGGTTGCACATCGACTCTGGAATTTGGATGTATTTCGTAATTTTTTATTTTATTTTTTTAAAAATGGGACATTTTTTATTGCAATGCGAAAGGATAAAAACGATTTAATATGAAAATGCAAAAATTAATTATGAAAAAAGAATGAACATTTTTCATCAAAAAGAACCAAAAGGAACTTTTTTTTGAAAATTTTTAATTTTTTTAAAAAAAATTATTTTTTTATATTTTTTTATTTTTTTATTTTTTAAATAAAACCATTCATTATGTTTATAAAAAAACCATTCAACTTAATCAATAAAATTAATAACAATTACATTTCTTTTTATTTTAAAAAGAACTATTGTAGTAATAATTATCAGAATGATTTAATTAAAGAATTTCCAAAAATCGAAATAATTTATGAAAGCGATAATAACCAACAACAACAACAACAACAACAACAACCATTATACTATAGATTAAAAAAAGAAAAAGAAGTAGAACCACAAAGAATCGGTTGTAATCCCTTAAAAGTATTTATTCATTAATTTTAACACACATACACAAAAAAAAAAAAAGTAAAAAAAAAATCATTTTGGGTAAACCGAACAAATTTTTAAATGAAATACTAAATTTTATTTTAATAACTTTTATAGAGATTAGACAAAGAATTAACTAGACCAATTAAACAACTGTTAATGATTGATAATGGCAATAATAATAGTAATAATAGCAATATAAATAATTGTGATACAATTAATTTAATTAAAGAAATTAGAAAATTAAAATTAAATATCGATATAAATACAGTAATTTTAAATAACCATAATATAAACAGTAATACTTTAATAAGCGATGTAGTTAACGAATTACCAAAAACACCAGTTATTGTTGGTTTATCAAATGAATCTTCAAATAAAATTTTAGAATTTTTAGAAAAAGAATCAAATCCATTATTCCCATTTGTAAGTATTATAAAAATAGTAACATTAATAACCCCAATATCTTTACTGACACATATCTATCATTTAAGACTATTTTAAATTTAGATTCAAATAAAGAAATTAAAAAACTTCGAAACTTGACCGATATCTATATATTAAAGGATAGCAAAAAAGATAATAGTAATAATAATAACAACATCTATAGTAACAATAGCAATATCAGACAAGTAATTTCATCAGACAACTTTAATCATTCGACTTTAAACATTTTAGAAAAAGAAATAGAATAAATTAATTTATTAAACTAAGAAAAAAAAAAAAGAAAAAAATTATTTAAAAATCTAAATTTTAGTTTTTATTTATTCTTTCATTTATTTTATAACTATTTAATCTTGATTCTGGTAAAAATGAAATGACATATCTAAATCTTGCTTTGTCAATATTTTCCAAAGCTTCAGCTGCTTTTTCTAATGGGAATACTTTTACCATTGGCTTGATATCATTTAATCTGGCAAAGTGAATAGTGTCTGTAGAGTCACGCGAATCACCAGAGGCCCAGCCCATAACACATTTAGATCCATCGATTAATTTAATCGATGATGCACTAAAGTCTTCGGGGAATGCTGCTGTTACAACTACTTTTCCATTTACACCTAGACAATCAATCAAACCAGGAAGTGCCGAGGCAGAAGGAGCTGTGCAGATAATACATTTAACTGAACCGATTTTTTGAATTTTTTCTACACAATCTTTACTTGACATGTCGACATAATGGTTTGCACCTAATTGCATGGCTAGCTCTCTTTTATGGTTGCCATATGACATTGCAATAACTTCATAACCCATCTTACGACAAAATTGAATTCCTAAATGACCCAAACCACCAATACCTTGAACACCGACCAATGCACCTGCTTTAATGTATTGATTTCTAAAGCCGTTAAAGACTGTAACACCGGCACATAATAATGGAGCTGTCTCTACTGGATCCATTCCATCCGGTATAACTACCAATGCATCTTCGGGACATGTCATATACTCTGCATAACCACCATCATAGTGCAAACCACAATTGGTTTGATGTTTACAATGGATCCATTGATCTTCCAAACATGATCTACACTTTGTACAATGATTGCCACCAAACCAACCTACTCCGACTACCATACCAATCTTGAATCTCTCTGTATCTATACCTTCACCCATCTTTTCAATAGATCCAATGACTTCGTGGCCTGGTACTCTTTGGGATTGTATTAAAACACCACATAACATATCAGTATGACAAATACCACATGAAATAACCTTTAATCTTACCTCTCCCTTTTTTGGCTCTGGGATTGGCAATTCTATTAACTCTAATTTCGAACCTTTAGATTTATATGCAACAGCTTTCATTTTTGATGTCATTCTTAGGAAATAATAAAAAAAATATAATAAAACAAATATAAATTTGTATTTGTATTAAAACAAAAGAAAAAATGAAAATGAAAATAAAAATAAATTTAAAATAGAAAATAAAAAAATTTAATTTAATTGGTGGGTTAATTTTTTTTTCAAAAAGTTATAAAATCGATATGGGGGTAGGGGTTATTAAATTTAATTAATTTTCATACTTTTTTCTTTAAAAAGAAATCCAAACTTCAAAAAAAGACCGCCCTATATCTCATAAATTAAATCATTTTTGTTACTTCTTGAATCTGTAAAATACTTTTCTCTGGTCAATGTGAATTCAAATTATTAACACAAACAACTATTATTATAATCCTTTTTCATTTTTTTTTTTTTTTTTTGAAATGGTGGTGCTATTGCTTAACCATTTTGATTCATTTAGGTTTAAAATAGATATTATATTGCACCACCCCTTTACAAAATCCAAATCAATCTTGACGTGGAGTAACAGGTGTCTTTTTACGTTAAAAAAATAAAAACAAATTATTTTTTTTTATTTTTAATTTTTTTTTTTAACGAAAAATTAAAAAAAAAAAAAAAAAAAACTCCACAGTTAATCGAAAAAATATATTTTTTTATTATATTAATATTACCTATATACTATTTAAAAAGATATTAATATCTTTATTATCACCATTTCACCATTATACAAATATAACACACTATATATTTTTTTTTATTTTTAAATTTATTTTATAATAATTATTAATTATTTATTTTTTTTATTATTTTTTATTTTATTTTTTTTTAATTTTTAATTTTTTTTTTTTTATTAAAATATCAATTAAATTGTTTATAGTAAATAAATTTCATATCATATATTAAAAGTAATAACAATTATTTTAAAACAAATAAATAAATAATAAAAAATAATATATAAAGCTACAAAATGGAAAAAGGTAATAATTTCAAAAAAAAATATAGATAAAAATGTTTCATTTTAGTTTTTTCATATATAGAGAAAATTTTGTTTTTTATTTTATTTTTAAAAAAAAAAAAAAAAATTTAAATTAATTTAAATAATTAAAAAAAAAAAAAAAATTAATTAGATAATTAATTACTATATTAGTACCAATAGCTTTTGTTATTTTATTTATTTTTATTTTGTTTTTTAATAATATTACTATTGTTTTTTGGAGCATTGTTGGAAAAAAAAAAAACATTCATAGTTTTTTTTTTTTTTGATAACTTTGCAAAATTTTTTTGGAACACACGCCTTTTAAAAGAACAAAATATCTTTTTTTTTTTTTTTTTTTTTTTGTTTTTCTTTTCTTTTCTTCTTTAAAAAATTTACGAAATTAATTTTAAATATTATTACTATTAAATAATAAATAAATATTATAAATATGGTATTTTCACCGATAACTAAATCAAATAATACCAATATAAATAATAATAATAATAATAATAATTTAACAAATAATATAAATATAAATAATAATAACAACGCCAATAATAATAATTTAACTAATAATTTTCAAAATGATACCGTCAATAATAATAATAATAATAACAATAATAAAATAAATATTAATAAAAAAGATAATAATAATATAGATGAAGATAGTTTTATAAATAGGGTTATTCCAAGAAGTAATAGTATTAGTAATGGCGAAATTGGTGGCAGTTGTGTAAATAATATAAATAGAAATGGTGATAATAATAATAGTAGTAATAATAATAATGGTAAAATAATTTTTAATACATTTCATAATGATATAATAACAAATGATCAACAAAACAGTAATAGTAGTAATAATCATATAACAACAACATCATCAACAACAACATCAACAAATGGAACATATAAGGTAGAGGTAAATAATGATTGTAATGGAGGCGGAGATGGTACAGAGATAAAAAAGAATAGAAACATGTTACCACACGAAATTTTAATGACTAGAGTAACATTCAAAATTGAAACACCAATTAATTATGTTAAAGATAATGAAAGTGTTGCGGTTATTGGTGAAGGTCAAGAGATTGGTAATTGGAAAGTTAAAGATGCACCACAGCTAACAAATACAGAAAAAACTGATTCTCATTTAATTTGGACCACAACTTTATTATTCCCAAAGGCAACTAGAATATCTTATAAATATTTAATTTTAAATAATGGACTTTATAATCGTACTACTGCAGAAAGTACAATCGAAAATAATAGCATCACTACAAAAACGGTCAATGGTTATTTAGATGTAAATAAAAAGAAAAAGTGCCTTGTTGAATGGGAGGCATCTAGAGGTCAAAGCAGAACATTAGTTGTCGAGGGTATAGATATGTTTGTTAATGATGGTCTTTTCGGTGTCTTGGAAAGTGGCAGTAAACCATGGATTGGCAGAGGATGGCTCCCAGAAGATGAATATCAATTGCGTGTTCAATTACAAGTTGATGAATCTCCAGTGCAGCTATACGATAATTTCATAGATCCAACTCAATTGGTGCTAAGATTACATGATCCCTTTGGTTTAAGTCAAGAGTTCCCATTACCTTTACATGGTTTCACAGAGCTAGTTCTCCATACACATTCCCCATCAGTATTTGGTTTTTCAATTAGTTTATTACTCCGTGAGAATCAAACCAACGGTGCAAGTACCCCATCATTCGATTGGAGGGTATTGGGTAGAGCCTATATAGGGTCAAAACAATGTAATGACCTCTGGGGCAAAATCTATACACCAATCATTGGGGAAAAACTTTTACCAATTGGGGAATTCCGTTGCAATTATTTAGTCGTCTCACCATTCAATCATCCACAAAATTCTCTATCAAATTTATGGCACTCTTTTGTTGAGCAACCCCAAACACTTATTGGTCATCGTGGTAATGGTAAAAACAATTTTGGTATCAATGCAAATGCTGTAACTGAAAATACAATTCTCTCTTTCTTAACTGCCGCTCAGTTTGGTGCTAAAATGGTAGAGTTTGATTTGCAATTAACCTATGATAGTGTTCCAGTTATATTTCACGATTACGAGATTGAAATCCAAACCACAGAGGGTTTTACAATGAAAGAGGCTATTAATCGTTTAACTTTGGAGCAGTTTTTAAAAGTTAAACCAACTTCAAATAAACGTGACCTTATCTCACATACCTTAAAGCGTATGAAGTCTTTACGTATCTCTAAAAGCACAAGCGACCTTTTATCCCTTGCTCCAACTTTTGACGCATCGCAACACCTTTCATCTTTATTGGACCTAAGCCAAGGTGGTATCGAGCTCTCAGTAAAGCCTGATTCAGTTAGACCATCATCCATTATTCATGACAGATTCTCAACTCTTCAAGATGCTTTTCACTTAGTACCACAAGAAATTGGTTTCATGATTGAAATTAAATATCCAAATTTAGCAATGCAAAATTTAAGAAAATTCAAAGCACCAGAAAGAAATGAGTTTGTTGATATAATTTTAAATGTATGTATTTTTTTTATAATACCCACTTTATATTTTTAAAATAAAATATATCTAATTTTTTTTTTTTATTAATTAGATTGTTTTTAATGAAGTTAAAGATAGAAGAATCGCCTTTCTTACTTTTGACCCAGATATTGCAATTTTGTTAAGAACTAAGCAATTTAGATACCCAGTTTTGTTTTTAATATGTTGCGATACACCAACTTTTTTCGATACCTTTGATCCAGATGTAAATGTTAATGATACAAGATGTAATTCAATTTTAAATGCTGTCACATTCGTTAAAACAGTAAATTTAGATGGTATAGTTTGTGATAGTGAAACCATATTAAATAACCACTCCTATGTTAATTTAGTTCATAACGATAATCTATTGTTATTTACATATGGTAGTAAAAAGTAAGTAGCCAAATTATCAGATATCATATTGATAAAAGGCCCTATAAAATTTATATTAATATTTTTTTCTTTTTTTTTATTTTTTTTTTTAATAGTGTTGATCCAGTCAATGTTAAAATTCAAAAAGAACTAGGTGTAGATGGTATTATTGCAGATAACATAACAAAATTAAATAAGACTGTTCATACAAATACAACCTCCGCTGCTGCTCAATAATATTAAAATAATAACAACAATAATAATAACATAAAGTAATAACAACGCAAATTCACAATATAATCATTTTTTAATATTTCACCCCTTTAATTATATAATCATTTTTATTATTTATAAAATATTTCAATAATTATATCTCTATTTTTTTAAATTTAAAAAATAATAATAATTATTTAAATATTACCTTTTTTTAAAAAAAAAAAAACATACAAATAGTATGATTTTTTTTATTCCCCTTATTCTCTTTTTTTTATTTTTCATTATATAAAAATAGAAATCTGATGATTTAATATCAATATTATCTTTGTATAATAATTCCAATTTAATGTAATACAATCAGTAGATTTTAATTTTATTAATACAAATAAACTATATTTTTATTATTTCTATATTAAAAAAAAAAAAAAATTCCTCAAAGAGGATGATCTTTTTTATAAATATTATTAATATTACTTTTATTTTATTTTTATTTACAATTTACTTATTAATGCGCATAATAGTGTTTATTATTAATATTATTAAACTATTGAGTATTATTTATTTGAATAGATTCTATTTAATAAATAATTTGATTATATGCTAATTGTTTATATATATATATTTAAAAAACTAAACATTTGATTCTGGATTATTTTTGTTATTATCGTTTTTAAATTCTTCGCTTGTAATTGAGTCCATTGGAACTTCACCTGCATTAGTTGGGACTTGTTGTATACTATTTTGGGCGTCTTCAGCTGCATCCTCTACCGAAACTTTCTTTTGTGTTAATAGATCTCTTTTATTATGTAAAATTAGTAACTTTCTTGTTAAAATATCGATTTGTTTATCAAATATAAGAACTGAGGGCCTAACCTTTTCTTCTAAATTTTTAGCGAGTTCTTCTTTAAGTGCTGCTTGTTGTTCCGATAAATTTGCGCCTGATAAAAGTTTTAATTGATTATCAATGCTATAATAAAATATGGTTAAGGGTTGGTAAGTTTTAAACACATAATATATAAATATAAATTGTTTTTTGATTTGAAACTTACAGTTCGATTGTTTTAAATACTTTGTCTCTTTCGGCTTCTAATTCATTTAGTTTACCTGAGGTTTGATTAATACCAAGTGATAAATCAAATTCCATTTTTTCAACTGATTCTACCTCTTGTTTCGATTCTTCTACAGTTTCATTTATAGTCTCTATACTTTCTTGAACTTGTTGTTCATTTTCTTTAGTTGGTAAATAACTTTTAATAAATGCATACATATTTTAGAATTCTATATTTGTTTTTGTAAAATATTTCTATTATTATAAAATTATTATTAAAATTGGGTATAAATATTGTTTAATGTAATTATCTATATGTTTTTTCTATATGTTTTAAAATTAATAAATTTATTTGAAAAAAAAAATATGAATTTATTATTTGTTATGTGAAAAAAAAATAAAAAAAATAAATAAAAATTAAAAAAAAATTTAAAATTTTTTTAAAATAAAAATAATAAATAATAATATATAATTAAAAAATAATAATAATAACTTTTTAAGATTTTATAAAATAACAAAATAATTATTTCAAATAAATGAGAATTTTTTGTCTACGTTGTTTAAAAAAAAAAAAAATAAAAAAAAAATTAAATAAAATAAAATAAAATAAAATTTTTTTTATTTTTTTTTCAAAATTTTTCATAACCTATCCATTGTTTTTTTTATTTATTTTTTGTGTATGATATATTAGTTAATAAAAAGATATAATAAGAAATCAAAATTATTTTAAATATGAAATTTAAATGTAAAAAAAAAAATTTTAATAAACTTTTTTTTTCAAATAAAATATAAAATGCGAACGAGAGCTGATGTGGTTATAGGAATATATTGTAGCTAAAAAAAGTGTAAAATGAATTTTTTCTTTGTTATTTTAAAATAAATTCAGTTTTATCTTACGATATTATTTGAAAATAATTTTATTCATTTTTTTTTAATTAAATTTCAAAGTTTAAAATAACAATAATTTTCATTTCTATTTTTTTTTTTTTTTTTTCATTTCTTGCTTTTTATGTATTGAAATTTAGGTAAATAAATATAGAAAAAATTATATGACCATAATTATTTCTTTCAAATAGTTAATTATTATTTATGTAAGTAAAATGGTGTTATGAATTTTTAATTTAGAAATAATTGTTTTCATTATTAATTTTGTGTTTATATTCTTTTTTTTTGTGTTTTTGTGTGTATAAAAAAATTAATGTGGGGGAAAAGTGCACGGGTAATATATTAATATAGAATTAAAATATTATTTGTGTATGACACAATAAAGATTTTAAAAACCCCAATATTTTTTTTAAGATTATAAGCGCAGAACGAAAAAAAAATTGTTTTATTCCTTTTTATAGGAATGGTTCTTTTTTAATCTAATTTGTAATTTTTTTAATTGAATGAAAAAAATAAAAACAATAAAAAATTGTCATTTTTAGAAATGATTAAAGAAATTAAACAATAATGGCAATAATAATACCAATATAATAAAAATAATTTCAAATTTTATAAAAATAACAATGAATAATAATTACAAATAATTATAATGGGGTGTGTAATTGTTTTTTTTTATTTTTTTATTATTTTTATATAATTGTTTTTTTTTCTTATAACTATCGTTTTTCAATCTTATAATATTAAAACATCTTTCGTTAATTAATTAAATATTAATAAATAAAGTTCGTAAATATTAACATTTTGGATTAAATACCTCAATTATGTATTTTATGGTTAGTAGGC